GAACGTTGCATCAATCCTTACATGAATGTCATAAATAGTTCTCAATATGATTATGGTTTATGTATTGCTTGTAACAAAGTGATAATAAAGGCAATAATTAGGTATAATAAAAATCATGTTAAGGAATATGAGTGATGTAGAGGGAATTTACCCCTCCTATTTATCAAGAGTAATGTCTAGTACCACTTAACAAAGTAAGATTTTAAAATGCATGGTCATACTCAGAAAGGGTAAATATGAGATCTTTATTTCTAGAAAGTTTGTTCAAGTATTAAAGCATATAAATTGAACTATGTGAGGATGACATGTCTATGCCTCTTGTTCAATTTAGATATATGGATAAAGGGATCAATTATATAAACATAATCACATAATATGTTATGTCAATTTAAAGGCATTCTTAATATTTGGGTCATAGTGATGTATTGTTAGATGTTTCTTACTATATGTGAATATTAAACATATCTAATTAAGTTCAAGTGCAAGTTAGTAACTGCTGGTATATGCACTAAGAACTTGAATATTTATATTTAATATAATAATCAAATATAAGAAATATCTACATGGTCACACATATAGAACAGGTTCAATAGAAAAGTAATATTTCAGTTAGATTGAAATAATATTTTATCATATCAAACTCATTAAGGATGAGTCAGTCACAACTCGTAAGTGAAAATTAGGATTAGTCATCCTTGTGCTTACAAATAAAGTATAAGATATTAAACTTAAGATATATTTTAGAAAAACCTTATCACTTTCTATATATTTTTTTTCTCTCTCTCTCACTTCCACAATTTACTACCCACATAAAAAGTAATCTTTATTCTATTTTTTGTATATTTTGTTGCTTTGAAATATGTATGTCACAAGAGTAATTGAGAATCTTTAATATTCTATTGCACTATTAGTGTTCGGTTTCCATCATAAATACTTTGACAAAGTTTATCATATTTTTCTAACAAGTCAAGAAATATAAGACAAATCTCCAAAATAAAATTCCTTCCAAACATACCTTTAAAGTTTTTTTTTCTTAAAAAGTGTATGATCTAAATAACTGTATTTGACCTAAGAGCACAGACAAATCTCTACTTATATAGTTTTTTATTGACGATGATTTTCAACATTTGTTCAACTGTTGCAATTTAACTTACAATATTAGTTTGAAATAGAACTTTGTCATGCATACTTATTGTGATTAATAATATGTGTTTTGGTTTATAGCATCTAAATGGAGTAATCATGGCAAATTGGCACGTCCTTATTGTATTTACAATACAAAGGTTTTTTAATTAAATTATGATTAACAAAAAACTTGTGGTTAGATTGCCTTTTTAATTTTTGCAACGCATATTGCTCTTTCAAAATAGTAATATATATATATATATATATATATATATATAATTATTCAAATTGTATTTATCATTCTTAAATTACATCCAATAATTAAGGAAAATGTAATTGAGGAATGACACATAGGGATGACAATGAGTAAAGCACCTAATGGGCACCCGCAAAATTTATCCACAATGGATAGAGTATTTACCCGCTACATAGGTCCCTATATATATATATATATATATATATATATATATATATATATATATATATTTGAACTTTGTTCTACAACTATGCATTAGCTTTTTGTATTACTACATTACTTATGTGAAGTTATATAAAATTAATATAAAAATATATTTAATAATAAAGTAAACCAAAAAAATTATTTTGATTTATATTTTTAATAAAAATTTTTTTTACTATTTTATATCATTTAATTAGGCTAATACAATTTAATTATTACATAATTGATATGAGATTTACTTTTTTTAAAATATTATTTATATATGACACACATAAAATATTTTTCACACAAATATTTTTGTTAATAAAATCATATTGATATTTAAATCATAAAGTGAATGATAAATAATAAACATATTATAAATATTTTATAAATTTTACAACCACCTACTATTACTGTAAACTTATTATTTATTGATAATATTAAAATTTTATTTTAAAATAATATTTTTCTATGCAACATATGTATTACAAGCACAACTATAATTTATTGAATCTAAATAATATTATTCTTACTATTTATTTACGTTCAAAAAAGTTTTTAAAAGGATATAAAATATAAAAAATTATTGTTAATTTTTATTTATTAATTTTTTTCTCAGATAAAAAATTATAATTTTTTTGATATACACATATATTTCTTTATTATAAAATTTTATTGTGACCATTTATCTTTTATTCAAATTCTTTCTTTTAAAATTTATATACATTATAAATATTTAATTCATTAAAATAAATTTTCAAAAATTTGTATTTTTGAAAAAATACTTTTGTATAGTATGAGTTAAAAATACTAGTATTAATATATATATATATATATATATATTATATTATTTTAATTAAATCTATTATTTTTCTTACAATTTCAAATTTAAAAGTTAAAAAATTTATTTTATGTATCCACTTTTTGTGTTAGTACTTGAACTTCTCTACTCTAACTTTATTCTCATTCTCAATGTATGTCTCATTAAAACTTAACAATTATGAAACGTTATTCATCAGAGTTAGTTGTCAATGTCGCCACAAGGAGTCACCAAGTAATCTCATACGAAGGGCTACCCATTATACAGATTTATTTTATTGTCGCTCTAACGTTGTCAATCGATCGAATCTCACACAAGATAGGATTATTGCTGACAAATAACTTGTGTGTTTAATTTCGCTTATTGTTTTTAAGAATTTTAGTTTAAAAAATTATTATATTAAGATACATTTAGCACTTGTGATATTTGAATATTTATTTTTTTATCTATGTTTATACCTTGTTCGACAACTACATATTAAATTTTTGTATTATTATGCTACTTATGTGAAGTTATATAAACATATTTTTCTTTATAAATATTTTTTTTCAAACAAGCGCGGGTAATGGGTACAAAATGAGGATGCGGGTACCCAGTATTCATACCCACGCGAGTATGGGGCTAGGTACAGATATTTTTTTAAAACACAGGTATGAGGATGGATACTATAGTATATAAAAGAGGTGACTTTACATACATTTTAGTTTTACTATGTTTTTGTTATTTTAAGTGAAATTTTAAGATGAGAATTGTAACAGCCCCCAGGAACTTCCCAGAAGGTCACCCATCCCATAATTGCTCAAAGTTAAGCCTTAACTTTGAAGTTTTTAAGTGATAGGCCACCGAAAAGTAAATGCATTTTGTTGATATAGGTAATCCTAATCAATTCCTTTAAGCTATCCTCAACTGTATAGTCTCATACCTACACAGCTTCTGGATCCCTCTCATTCTGGTATAAGTTCGATTCATTCATGTGTCCCTTACTGCTGCAAGCCTGCCTGGTAGCTGCTCCTTGTCCGTGTTACATTGCACCGGCGATCACTCCTCGCCCTCACCTAGTGCCTGTTTGAATCGAACTTATACCAGAATGAGAGGGATCCAGAGGCTGTGTAGGTATGGGACTATACAGTTGATGATAGCTTAAAGGAATTGATTAGGACTATCTATATCAACAAAATGCATTTACTTTTTTGTGGCCTATCACTTAAGAACTCAAAGCAATTATGGGATGGGTGACTTTCTGGAAAGTTTCCAGGAAGTGTGCGAGTGAAGACAAAAGATGCTAAAAAGTCTTGTGTTGGTTTATGAGGACAGTCGTCAGTCCCGAATAAGTTGCCGGACTGTTACAAGAATTTTAATTTAATAATTAAAAGTTAAGAAATAAAATGAAAAATAAAAACTAAAATAATATTTTTTATATAAAGATAAGAGTCTTGTTAACTTTGAGAGACTAATTATAAAATAAGAAATAATAAAATTTTATTAAAATCTATATTAAAATGTATTAAATATTGTGAGCATAAAAATGTATTATATTTTTAATAAAATATACTTTTGTAGTTAACTAATATCTTAAAGATTTATTTGATGGATTAAAAGTAATTTTTTTATTAAAAATTATGTTAATATGTATTAGGAAATACATGGCAAGATTAATTAAAAATAAAACCAGTCTCGCCCTTATACTATCACAAAACCGGAAAAAATTTAAACCGAAATTTTTTTTCAAAATATTAATATTTCAATAAATAGTTTCTTAAAAAATAAAAAAAAGCCATTTTTAATATGCTCTCAACAGCGTACAATAAAAATATATAAATGATAACATTTTTTAAAATTAATATATTAATAATATGAGTTACAATAATTTTAAAAAATTATTTTATTAATGTTTTATTATATATCTTTTAATATATGTTAAAAAAATATTTTATAAATATATTACTCAATACACTTTATATAGTTAGTTTATTTTGAAAAATAAAAAAATCATTTGTATATTGATAATTTTTAAAATATTATTTTGAATTTCTAAAAAGTAAATCAATTATACAAAATATATTAAAAAGTGTGATTAAAAGATTGTGTTGCTTTAACATATGTAACATGCACAACATATGATTCAATTTAGGTTAGATTATATTAATGACTTAATTATTTTATTTTATATTTATTTTTATCTTATATTTCATTAGTTTTAAAATTTTTATTTTATTTTATGTTAGTCATTTTATCATAAATTTTTTTATTCAACGATTATTAAAAATAATTGATGAATTAGTTTAAACATTGTAATACGATCAATACATAAAAAAAATAGTCATTTTATGTGTTAAACTGATAAATTGAAAGTGAAAGTTAATTATCATTTTCTTATGAAACTTCAATTTTGAACACCTATTTTTTTTAAAAAAATTGCTTTCAATGATTATTAAAATAGAACCTAATTTGTACAATTAATTTTTTTAATTGGCTTTTATGCAGATAAAGTCAATATAATATGTAGCAATGTAATAATTTTCCTGAAAGGAAGCTTCCCTTTCTCTCTAAAGCCACTCCCACGTACCCAAATGGCAAAAGTACATGGTGTGAAAAGGTTTGGGACAATTTCAAATGGCAATCTATATCTGGTTATGTTTTCTGGCACAGGCCTTTGCTGTTCTATGGGCAGTGGCATCTCCACTGTATCATATTCAAGGCAATGATTGTGATTTTTCTCAGGGAAGCTGGGTTGTTGATGACCCTTACTACCCTCTATATGATGCCTCAAGGGATTGTCCTTTCATAGGCCAAGGATTTGATTGTCTCAGAAATGGTAGGCCTGATCAAGAATACCTCAAGTATAGATGGAAGCCCTCTGGTTGTGATCTTCCAAGGTAATGTTTTTATTCACCACTTTTTCTTAGTTTAAGATTTTCATTTTTCATGTTTCATCACTCATAAGCATTTTATTTTACTTTCACATTGAAGCCTTCATATGGCCCAAAAATTGCCCTTTTGAAATTAAAGATGAATTTTCCTTTTTCTTAAAATAAAAATGTCACTTCACATGTGATGTGTTGGTTAACAGGTTTGATGGAATGAATCTTTTGGAGAGTTACAGAGGGAAGAAGATCATGTTTGTGGGGGACTCCATAAGCAACAATATGTGGCAGTCACTTATTTGTTTGCTTCACATTGCAGTCCCAAAATCAAATTACACCTTAACAACTCTAACAAAACATCTTTCTGTATTCTTATTTCCGGTAGTTTTTTTGAGTTTATATTTTAATTTAAAGGGAAATTTTTGGCCTTGACAATTATTGTTTGATTAGTCACCTTATTAATAACTCTGTCAAATTATTGTGTTATAGGAATACCAAGCTTCAATAATGTGGTTGAAAAATGGGTTCCTAGTGGATGTGGTTCATGACAGAGAAAAACGCAGAATTGTAAAACTGGATTCCATTTCCATTAGATCTGGGAACATGTGGAAAGGAGTAGATGTATTGATTTTCAACACTTACCATTGGTGGACCCACGCAAGAGATTCTCAAACGTATTGTTATGATTTTGAACTATAGTTTTTGCATTTTTGGAAGCTAGGATATTTGTATTAGAAAAGTTAGGCATGTCGCTAATTATGCATTCATGACGATGTTTCACAGATTGGTTCACTTTCAATTGGGCAATGAGATAATGGAAGACATGGATCCCTTGGAAGCTTACAAGATTGGGTTAACCACTTGGTCTAAATGGATTGATTCTAACATTGATCCCTCAAAAACTAAAGTTTTGTTCCAAGGAATTGCTGCTTCGCATTCTGAGTAAGTTTAATTTTTAATTCCTCATTCCACTCCAATTAAAGTTCATAAAAGAATTCAATAATACATTTTACTTACATAGTTGGATATTATTAGCATTTATTAGTCCATGAATGTGAGTTACAATCCTTTTTATTTATTCCATGAAACCACCTCTTTGATGGAAGCAGATTTGATCTAATCATGTACTTGCCCATGATATAATAGACTTTACCACTCGAGCGAAATTAGATATTGTTAGTTTTTGAGACGGAGAATAAGAAAATTATAACAAAACATCGATGATGTAGTGTATCAACATGCATAACTTCCCTCACATGTTGATTTGAATATAAAAAATCTGAGATTTAATATGTGAGATGCAAAAGTTCCATCCGTAACTTCCTATTTTTTCTGTTTAATTTTTAAAAGCCCTTACAAAAGTCAAGCATAAAGGTTATAAGTATTATAAATTAACTAACTAGGTGCCATCTAAATGTTTGTGTATAGTATATCATTTATCTATCCATCTAAACTCCTACATGAATTTAGCAATTTTATAAGAGAAGGGAACCAGAAAAGGCAAAATACGAAGCTTTCTTCTCCCTTTTTTTGGTAAATCTTTTTGAAGAAAACAGACTAGAGTTAAAGCTCATTAGCATACTTTTACACACTCTCGAATAAAAGCTCACTATGCAAATTTTTTTGTGGTACAAAGCATGTATTCAAGAAAAATCTAAAGTACCCAAAAAAAGACTATTAGAAGGCCCTAAACCTTAACCCTTGACCACTTAGGCCCAAACTTAAATATTAAGTCTATACTAAAGATTGAAGTCATCTCACAACTAAGCCAACTTAATTGAACTAAAGGGAGCTTGACAAAGAAAGATATATTTAGAGAAATAAATCACTAAATCTAAAAGCTCATTATTATGGTTAATAATATTGATTGGAAAAGTTGTATTCAAAGACTCATATTTTGTCCTAAATTTTCAAGGGGAAAGGGTTGTCTCAATCAAACTCGCCCAGAGCAAGGATCAAAACCACAATATCCTGGTGCAGACACTGTGAAGAACATTTTGAGTAGTATGACAAATCCTGTTTATTTGCTTGACATTACATTCCTCACACAGCTAAGGATAGATGGCCACCCATCTATATACACAGGCAAAGGCAATGATTATGTGGACTGCAGTCATTGGTGTCTAGCTGGTGCTCCTGATACTTGGAATGAAATCTTATATTCTGCTTTGCTTAGACAATAATATTTTTTGTTTCATTTTTTATCTCTAATTTATGTTTTCTTCTCCCCTTAAGCGAACAAGACTCCTGCGATTTTGGAAAATGATCCCCTCTTCTTTTTTTTCTTTCTATGTTGTTATAGAAGAGAATTTTTATTTTGATTTATTTATTGTTTTGTAAGTTTAAAATAGTATTGACTATTATTTTTTAATTAGATCTTATCATTTATCTATATTCTACTATTTTAGTAGACTTATCAAGAAAGAGAAACAATGGTATGAGAAATATTAAATTAATAAATAGAAAAGATAAGAAAAGGCTATATGTTGAATTTACACTCTGCAGAAAATGGAGATGCTATCACCATCGACCCCAGAGAAGAAATCATCTACAGGTCTTTCCCACCCAGCATCCATCCGCAACTGGGGTTCAGCCTTTGCCCAGCACTTCGCAATCGCAACTGGGGTTCACCCTCGAGTCGCATATACAAGGATGTGATGCACGCGAAATTTGGCTCCATTTCCTGATCTGCACCCCTTGAGAAACAAAGCCAATGGGTTTGGACATACTACGGATGAATGTATTCAGCTAAAAGAAGTAATCGAGGAGTTCATCAAAGAACGCAGACTTAGGCGATGCCTATGCCGCGATGAGCAGCAAAGCCCAGGCAATGATTCAAGCAGCATAGGAACGACCGCGGTCGCAGAAAAACCAGAAGCCTAACCCGCGGCGGCGTGACTCGTGATAAATTTATAATTATAGTTTATTTATAAGGTTTAATATCCAGAATATTAGTTTAAATTAATTAAAAAGGCATGAAAATGATACGTTTCTAATTGAAATTTGCTTAATGATTGAAGATAAAAATAAATTCATTTAATTGCACGTTTTTATTAAATTTATGAGTTTTTTATGATTTTTAGGACTTTGATTATGAAAACAAAGCTTAAGTCCTTAAGCGAAGATAGTTAGCATTCCATCATTAGTGTGGACGTTTTAATGTTCAATCATCATAGAAGAACCAAAATGATGCATGACTTGGGCTTTTCAACGCTCAGCAATCAAGAAAATGAAATTTGAGCTGTGTTCCAACATGAATCTAAGCATTCCAATGCATGCATCATTTTTAAGGAATTTTTAAACAATAATTTTTTCATGTTTCAACGACTATAAATAGATGTTAGGAATGTCATTTTTAAATATTTCTCTCATTTTATTAAATTTCTAATTTTTGATATAAGATTTTTTCTTAGTTTTTTCTATGAAGATCTTTTATTTTTCTTTTGTCATTTTTATTTCATTTTTTTGTAAATTTATGTAATCTGATTTTGTTTATTCTAATTTATGTGATTCTTAATAAATTGTATAGTTTTTCTTTAATACCGAAAGTTCTAATTGAATTAGTCATTTGATAGTATTATTTTAGAATATTTTTTTGTATTGGACACATTGATTTAAACATCCTGATTCTGAGGCGAACTGCATTGATTTTTTCTAATTTCTTAGACAAGGAAAAATGAATAAGATTCTTTTAATTCTTATTTTTCATACTTTTCTTAATTGAATTTCACCAAAACATTAGATTTTTCCTAGCTAAAAGTTAAGGTATTTCACTAAGACACCAAGTTTACCGTATCAAAGAATTAGATAATGCAATTGTATCTTGAACTTGTATTAGAAATTCTTTTTTTTATACCTGAGTGATACTCCTATTGAAATATGAACTTTAATCATTTGTCACTCCTCCGTTAGTACTACCACCATTTGTAGCGGTCTATTGTCATAAGCCTCCTAATATGAAGGAGAATAACGTGTAGAAGCAATGATACTAGACTTGAAAGATCTTGATGAAGCACTCTTTTAGTTAAAATTTCATTTGACTAAGGCTCAAGAGCAAATGAAACATTTTGTTAACAAAAAAATAGCAAATGCGTAATTTTTTTTATTGGATAGTAGGTATTCTTGAAGCTATGTCCACGTAGGCAGTAATCAATTGCTCAATGCATTCATCAAAAGTTAGCTACTTGCTATTTTGGGCCCTATCAAGGCATTGAGTGCTTGGGAAAGGTGTTTTATTGGTTGAAACATCTTAGGGAATCAAAAGTGCTTCCTATTTTACATGTGTCGCAATTGAAAAAAGTTGTGGAAAATTGTGAGGCAGATGTTACTCTTCTTCATGACCTTATGGTTGAGATTACAGTGGAGTCTTATTCTATATTAGCTAATAGAGTCATTTCTCTAATAAAGGCTAATAGAAACTCTAGTACTTAATGCATTAGTAAGGTAAGTCTACAGAAGATATTATGTGGGAAGATGAATTTATTCTTAAGAGTTAATTTCCTAATTTCAACCTTGAGAACAAAATTGATGATTTAACAACTGTTGATAGGTCCAACAAGTCTATTTTCTTAGTATTAGGCCTCCAAGGCCTAATTAAAGTGTATACTACAAGAAAGAAGGCGCGAGAGGATAGGAATGCAAAAATGGCAAAAGTTAGTTAAGTAAATTTGTTAGAATATTTGGATGTATACAAGATGGGTGGATAGCATGATGAAGTAACCTTTTTTCTTTTTTCAGTAGGTTTTTGGCATTGTAAGAGACCTTGCTAACCTTTTGATGTAGATCTGTTTAGTCTCTAAGAAGAACATTTGGCATTGATAGGAATAAGATGGATCTTATTGATGACAACCTACAACATCATGACCAATGATTGTCCTAAAAAATCTTGACATAAAATCTATAGCAATTATGTCTTATTTCCATTTAGAATGCTTAGAGTTTTGATGTTTGTTTCTTGAGTTTGATAAACAAATTTGGCAACATAATAGTCAAAATTAAGATCCTACATAAAATAAAAAAAAGGGATCAAAGATAGAAGATAAAGACAAACACAGAAATGAGAAAAGGGAGCATAGAATAGGAGAAAAGAAGAAAAATAGGTTAGATGTTGCATTATAAAAATTAGTTAGAAGAATATTTTATCCTTAAAAATAGAGTATTTTAAGGATAAAAAAAGGAAGTTAGTTTATCTTTAAGAGATAAAAAGTCCTTTTTTATCCTTAAAAAACTCTAAAATATGTTGTTTTGGAGTAGAAAGGGAAAGTTGACATTTTTACTCTAGCGGAACTATTGCTTTGTCAAAGGCCGCGAGTTAAGTTGCCATGGCCGCAAATACCGATGGTTGCAATGCTACAGCAAAACACTCCACTATGGCAGGTATGTGGCAGCTGAAGGCCGCTTGACTAGGCACTGCCGCACTATCGACAATTATAAGACAACTGGGTCGAAAAAACGGGTTTGGGGTCCAAACACACGGACAAGTTAATGTGGACATAAAAGGATCGTGCCCATCTTGCATGGCGATTCCACGCGATCCTACAAATCTCCAATCTTGCTTGCAACCCAGCACGATATGGTGGTTCAGGATGATCGTAGAATTGCACGATTCCACGAGTCAACATGCAATTTTGACTACCATATTTGGCAAGTGCACCAGTCGTTTAGATAGAGCATAGAAAGTTATTATTCCCATGGAAATTGACCTACAAAAGCAATAATTGATATAGGATAAAAGAAAATAAACTCAACTAACATCTTTTTAAAACATGGAAACAAAAATGAAAATAAGCATTCTGTAGGCATAAAAGTAGGTTAGAGACCAAAATCATTCAGTGTTCTGATAATAAATAAACTGAATTAATATTTTCTGTTAACTCTGTTTTAAGAGCATGAAAAATGACCTTGCACAGAACAATGGGCTAAGATTAGTTTCCAAGGGCTAATTTTGTTTGACGTTGGGGCATTAAGGTATGATAACAAATGGAAAGAAACCACTTTGAACAAATACATAGGCATGATAACAAAACTCAAAATCTTTTAGTTGTTACTCGTAGGTTTCTTTGATTCAGATTTAACAGATCCATAATTTTCTCATTGTATAGCTGCGAAGACAAACACGTTTTGTTTCAAAAGGACTAAAATAACAAGGTTAAGCAGGCCAGCAAATGGAAAGAAATTATTCAGTCATTCAACCTCAAGAAAAGGAGGATCCACAGCACTATACTTGACATGTCAGTCAGAAGGCTATTTTGATCCTGCCAGAAATTCAACTGCAAACGTCGTGAATCACTGTATAGTGTATATAACTTAGAATGATTTATCAGGAATAAAATTCAACCCTTACTTCATTTATTATGGAAAAGAGCTGCTAAAAGATATCTGGTTTAAGACATTGTTGATCATTTGTTATATTTTCTTCCGACAAAGAATAGCCAGGACCATGTTGGAGCAAATGGGAAGAAACTGGTCCTAAGAAAATGCTGAATTATGAAATCAACCAAACAATTGTTTTTACAGAAGCACCCAAACAAGCACAAAAGTATCCGGTTGGAATCAGCAGGTGCATTAAACACCAAAAATCAAGTAATTTGAAAGAGTTAAAGATTCAGTTCAGCACAGAATTTCAGATCATGCGTGAGTATCCCTCATGTCAGACAAGATATCAAATGTGAAACTCTGGCCTTTAACGGAGCAAATCTGCGTTCATGCTGGCATGAACTCAAAATCACAATTTTAGGACAACATACAACCTTGCACGTCTCAATCAACATCCTCAACCATTATTGCCTTTTCCTTAAATTTTTCTAATATGAACCCAGCAGAAATATTGGAAGAAAAACAATGAACCTCAACTAAATTAGATATTTGACTTTTAAGTAGTAATAGGTGTTTGATTGATGTACCCACTTTGGTCATGAAACAATGTTAGGTAACCCCCATTAGTAGTTAACCATGATGTTAGTTAGGAAAATATTAGTAGTTAGTTATAATATATTAGATTAATTAGTTATTTAAAATATATTAGTTAATTAGTCTTATTAAGTTAGTAATTTGGGATGGTTGAGATTGTAAAAAAAATAAGGCATATTCCCTCTATAAATAAGAGGGAGGAAGAGAGAGGTCAGTTTGTCAATTGTTAAGAGAGTTAGGCCCTTTCACTTAGGAGTTGCAGTCCATTGAAGATCTGTTGTGTGTGTGTTTTATTCTGTAATGTTGAAAATATCTTCTTGTATTTCTTAATAAAGACATCAGTTTCTATCAAACAATTACAGTAGTAAAGATAAAAAATCAACGTATCTTGTGGAACAGAAAGAATGAGCCATCTTGATGATATTACCAATAATCGCCGCAGGAACATGATCCATCTTTAAAATGGTGGAATCTATTAATATCTCTGACAATAATTTCCCGTCAAACAATTTTACATACAAATTTGAAAAAGGTGTGGCAGTCAATACAAATTCGTAGATTCTTCTTCACCCTTATTGGGGCTGTAGGTGGTGTAGCAATTAATCCAAAGGCTACAGCAAGTTTCTCACTATGGTGATATAAGAGCTGCTCCTTTTCACTTTCATTCACATTATGTATATCAATCTCTATGATGGGTTTATATCCAGCTTTACTTAGAAGGTCACCCAACTGATCCAATTTAACATATATTTCATCACTTCTAGAATGACTTCTATCTCCAACAATGAAGGTGTATACCTTGTCTTTCACTTCAATCCAACTCATTGCAGGCTCCTTCTTCACCTTGCTATCTTTCATAAGCTTTCTAACGTTAGCAACATTACCCCACATCCCTGCTGAAGCATAGATGTTTGCAAGGAGAACATGAGTACCAGATTTCTCTGGCTCGAGGGCAAAAAGCATCTCCGCAGCTTTCTGACCAAGTTCTATATTTTTATGGATCCTTGCAGCTCCAAGAAGTGCCCCCCAAACTGAGCCATTGGCTTCAAATGGCACTGAATTTACAAGCTCCACTGCTTCATTTAATTTCCCAGCTCGTCCCAGGAGATCAATCATGCAAGCATAATGCTCTTGTGTGGGTTTAATCCCAAACATTGCCTCCATTGTTTCAAAATATTATCTTCCCTCATTCACCAAACCAGCATGATTACATGCACAAAGAACACTAACTAAGGTAATATGGTTGGGCTGCAAACCATCTCTAAGCATTTGATTAAACAATTGAAGAGCCTCTTTACCATGGCCATGCTGCGCATATCCTCCAATGATTGCAGACCATGAGACTATTCCTCTATTAGGTATCTCAGAAAAGGCATGATCCGCATCCTCTATGCTTCCACATTTTGCATACATATTCACCAGAGAACTGCTAGCAAATATATCAGACATAAATCCAAACTTGATGGCATGGACATGTAATTGTTTCCCATGCTCATATGCAGACAAATTTGCACAAGCATTTAAAAGAGAACTGCAGACAAGTGGATCTGGTTTGATATCTGCATTTTGCATTTGTAAATATAGCTTTAAAGCCTCCTCCCCATCCCTGTATTGAGAATATGCGGTTATCATGGATGTGTAAGCCACCAAATCTTCCCAAGTGCGCTCTTCAAATATTTTTGAAGCTTCATCTATATGGTTACATTTTCCATGTGTCCAGAAGACTGTTTATGACATAGAAATCCGAATAAATTCCAGATTTAATGGAAATTGTATGAATCTTCTTACAAACCTTAATTGCCTGCAAGCTGGCCACAGACTTGAGAACCGTTGACAAAGTAGTTTGGTTGAAATTTACATCTTCATTGTACATTTTAGTAAAAAGTGAGACTACTTCTGAGTCATCACAACACTAAGAATAACCAGAGATCAAAGCATTCCACATAACAATGTCCTTTTGCATCAAATCAAAAGCTCTCCTTGCATCATCCATCATTTCACACTTGGAATACATATCTATCAGTCCAACAGCAGCAAACAAATCTAAATCAGTATCCAATTTTATCAAATTAGAATGTAACTGTCTACCCAAACCCTTGAACCCCATTGCAGAACAGGCCTTTAAAGCACTAGATAACGTAAACATATTGGGATGAGTTCCTGAACTCTTCATCTCATCCAACAGCATCAAAGCCCAATCATTACACTCGTGAAGAACACAACCACCAATAATTGCATTCCAAGAAACAACATCAGGGTGCACAATTTCCTGAAAAACAGCCACTGCATCATCAATTACCCCTGCTTTAGAATACATGTCAACCAACGCATTTGCAGAAAACTGATCCAAATCAAGCCCCAACTTTAGCAAAAGCCCATGAACCATCCTTCCAAGACCGCCATCCCTCAACCATGAACAGGCATTCAATATGATAGAAATGCTGAACTCATTAGGCATAATTCCACTGATCACCATTTCCTTAAACAAATCCACAGCCTCGCGACACAACTCCCTTTGCACATAACAAGAGAAGAAGGCATTCCACGAAACAACATTTCGCTCGGCAATCCCACCAAACAACCTCCTAGAATCGTCTAGCTGCCCACACTTGGCGTACATAACAACCAAACTGTTAGTGACAAAGCCATCAGACTCAAACCCTGTAACCACGGTGATCCCATGAACCTTCCTCCCCATGTTCAAATCCCTCTTCATTGAACATGCCTTCAGCACACTGGGAAAAGTAAAATCATTACACTTAACACCCAACATGCACATCTCATTAAACGCCAAAATTGCCTCTTCCACTAACCCATTTTGCACATACCCAGATATCAAAGAAGACCAAGAAACCAAATCTCGCTCAGAACTTTCATCAACCAGTTTGCGGGCATCCCCAAAACGACAACACTTGCAATATAGAGTTACGAAGTGGCTCCTGAATCTTGGTTCGCGGGAAAATCCAAACTTGATCAAGTGGGCATGGAGTTCCATGCCTAAAGTTACGGACTTGGAAGCAACACATTGTGATAAGAGCTTGGTGTAGGATGTGGGGGGTTTTGTGAGGCTTTGTGAGCAAAGAACAACGTTGGTAATGGTTTTTGAATCTAACAAGGAGGCAAGATAAGTGGTTTGTGTAGTAGGGAGTTTGAATGGATGGTAGAGACGTTGTAGATTAGTGTGTGGGAGGAAATTGATGTACGAAAACCTTGGAGATGTTTTGTTGATTGACATGCTACAACTGTTGTTGAAGCACTTCCTTCCTTAAGTTACCAAAAACAAGAAAGTGCATTAAAAAAATAAAAAATAAAAACAAGAAAGTGTGTGTGGAAATTCTAAACCTAGCCACTTAAAACAATTACATACTTTTGTTTTAGCTTAATCTTACTGAAATAATGATATTATATTTTTTCTGATAGTGTGAAAAATAAATTATTTAATAAAACAAAATTAATTCAAAAGCATGCTTATTATATTGTATGCTTGGCTTGTTATTTTAATAAAATTTTTATTGTTGCACATTTTTTAATCAAAATTTATTTTAATGATTTTTGAAAAAAAATCTAAAGCATAATTTCCACGATAAAATTAATTTAATAATAATATATTTTTAAAATATTAATTTTTAATAAATCAAATGTAAATCTTATTAAATAAAAAACCTATATTATTTAATGGGTAGTATAAAATTTATTTAACGGCAGAAGATGTATTTAAAAATGTGTAAAATATATTATTACACTGGGTATCAAATTTAAATATTGACTTGAATCATTTTATATTATTTTCATGATTATATATATATATATCAAATTTTACATATTTTGATTACAAATATATATTTTAAAAATATATTGTTTGCTTAAATAAAATACTTCTGCATTTTACTTTTGTATAAAATTGATTTACTTAATAAAAATATTTAAAATAATGATTCAATTTGATAAATCTTGGCTTTTATTTAAATATTGCAATTTAAAAAATAAAATCTTTATTTATTATTTTTTAAACTATTCTTATGTCTATAGTGAATCTAGCCACATGGCAAAAGTTTTTATTAATATGGTTGGTAAAATTGTTGAATTTTAAATTTTTTAAAAATAAATTTTAGTACCAAATGTAAAATAAGTATGATTTTACTACATATCACAATTTTTATAATTTTATCGTATATTTAGTAAAATTAAAAGTAAATTTTGTTATCAACAATATGCAACTTTATGATGATAATACATGTCACCAATCGATGAGTTTTACTACAAAGATGGCACAACTTGTAAAGAATTAACATGTAATGCAAATTTAGCAAGATGAGCTAATGATATGATGAAACTTGCTTATAGATAAGATATTTTCACGTAAGTATATATTTAATATATATATTTATATATATATATATATACATATTTTTTTAACATAATAATACAAATATCATCTTCATTATAATAGTTTATATTTTTACCTACAAATTATTATTACATCATAATGACATAAATTTAAATTTATAATTATATATTTTATACAAATATCAGCAATAAAAAATCTTATTTTATAATTCAATACAAATTATTAGTACTTTTTAATTAAAAAAATTTAAATTATAAATTTAAACTTGCACTACGTGAAAATATGTACCTACCTAAAAATATCCAAGAGATAAGCAAGTTTTGCTATATTATTCATGCATTCCTTAAACTCACACCATGTATCAACTCTCCATAAATTATGCCATTTTCATGGCAAAACTTACTCAAACGGTTAGAAAGTTGCGCGTTTAGGGTGAAACTTTTTTTTAATTTTGTCAATCATATGCACTTATTTTGCATTTCTAGTGGCAAAATTTTTAAAAAAATAAAATTTAACACTTTTACCAACTGTATTTGTGAAACTTTTGTCACATGGTCAGATTCACCCAAAATAGGAAAATAGTTTAAAAAAAACTAAATTAAAAATTATTTTAAAATTATAATATTTAAATAAAAAAGCTAAAAAAATATCACATCTTATAAAAAGTTATTAAAAAATGTAAGTGTTAAAACTTATGCATTGCATAGGAAAATATTATATTTAAATTAAAATTTTAAAAATTAAAATATATCAATAATAATATAAATATTATAAAAATAATTGGTTATAAAATTTATAAAATAATTAAAATATGTCTATAACATTATATTCACTTTATGTTTTAAATATTAATTTTATTTAAAGCAATATTATTCATTTGAAATAAATATTTTTTGTGTTTCATATTTAAATTACTTTTATAAAAATACAAATAATCATTTATGTAATTTAGAAACTACATATTTTCATATCATTTTTTATTATCATATAATATAAATACTTAATCCTATGATATAAATTAAAATATTAAAATTTTAGATTAAATTATTTTGTTGGCCCCCATAATTTTTTTTTTATTTTTAATTAAATCCTTTGAGTACCATAGAGCACGTGAATTAACTGATGGAAAGATATTTCAATTTAACTTGTGATCTCGAGTTTAAGTCCTAACGAAAGCAACTATATTGAATACTCAAAAGGAGAGCTTTAGTTGGTAGAAACTTGTTCTAGCTTAATTATTGATCTCAAAGTTTGAGTTTGGGTAAATGCAACTGTGTTAAATACTCAAAGAAAAAGTTTGTTATCCATAATAGTCCTAATCAGTTAAATATCTGGAGGGAGAGTTTTGCTACCTCTAGTAGTCCTACTTGACTTAAACAGGATTGCCTATAGTAAGTTTAAATTTGTAATCAAATTCGTATGATTAAAATATTTTAATTAAACCTTTAACAATCAATTAAGATGTGATAAATCAAAAATTTGTTTGAATACTTCTTTCATCAAACTCTGAATATTTTATTTCAACAAATCAATAAAAGATTTAAAAAATTACTTTAAAATTTATCTCAATCAACAAAATCTAAATATGTTAACTGCGATATCTCTATTATTATTAATAATTCAATATCTAGTTTTGTAATTGTGTCATGTTAATTTATAAATAGCATGTCAAATTTTGAAACTAAATTTTTTTCTAAATACAAACACACATCATAATGCTATTATACCATGTCATGTTATTGGGACCTAAGAGTGTAAGATTCTAAGGACTTTCTAGTTTTCTTAATTTATTCAAATATATTACAAACTAACGATAAATGAAGGTTGAAGGAAAGTTCTAGGTATACATAATATACATAAGGGATCTCCTAGTAGCTCGTCTCTGTCTACTTCCTTGGTCCCTCTAGAGGAGGATTGTTGCACAATAAAGAGAAAAGGAAATCTCCACCCCAACAACATTGAACATGATTATGGGAGAAATATGAGGATTGTTAATTGTAATAATGGTTAAGATAAAATGACAGATAAAAGCAACCATTTGATTAAATGTATTATAGTCCTATCTGTCAGCCCATGTACTAAATGACATTTTTTAGTTGAGAATGACAGGTATATCCTCGTAATTTATTTTGCATTCATAACATAGTTAAGAGACATAAAATAAGAAAATGGTGAGTATAATCATCCATAAATATCACATAGCAATACCAATTGCTTAATGAATAAAATACATAACCAGTAACCCAATCAAACATTACAATGTCTTTGATCTATATTTTCTCTATAGAGTAATTAATTATCCATTACTTTAATCTTTGGGAGTTCTGTGTTTGTAGTTCGGATAGTGTCATAGGTACAACATCTCTCATTGGAAACACAAATTTTAGTACATAATTTCTATTATGGTCACTTCTAGTGGTTTACACCCATACCAATCATGGAATGCTCGATAACTAACAAGATAGTCTAGCATTTGTCCCTTATCACAATACGAGGTAGCTAATTCTAGTCTTTTGCTAATGCTCAGATACCTTACTATCTTCATTGGTAGATACGTTAACTAATCACTTTCTACCTTATGCTTGTATCTAGCATTTTCAATTACTTTCCTTGTGAAATTAATTTACAATTACAAGCCAAAACAAATCATTACTATGGACATGATTGTTGTAAGATTTTCTAGATTTTATGCACCAACTTGTAAAACTCATAACTTAATAATCAAACAAGTACAAAAATCATACAATCACTAAGGTTTTCTCTTCTTAAGTTTTTATTTTCATGTGATAATGCAAACATAAATTCAACACTCACAAAAAGTAATATGACACTTAATTCTTCTTTGATGTTCACAAAATATCATTTTCAGAACCTAGTTTATTAGAAAATTCATAATTGATTTATTATAACTCCAAAAATAATGAAATTAATGAGGTTATGTTCCTCTAAATGTATATTATCATGACAAAAAAAAATAAAATACTAATATAGACCAAACAGTTACATTTTTCAATTTGAGTCAGTGTTTGTCTACATGTCATAGGTTGTCATATTTCAATAATAAGTTCTTATAAAAATCATAACTTAGTCATTTTAATTTAAAAAATGATGAAATTTATTATGTTATTCTCCTATGTGAATCTATTTTCATGTAAAAATACTTGTATAAACTTGATATTCATAGAATTCTCTATAAAAAACAAACTTTCTATACAACTCACACGAAATCACTTTCACTTTTCAGTTTGTTAGAAAATTCAAATCTAACACAATTTATATCCAAAAATTATGAAACTATTGGGATTAATTTTCTATAAATATCTATTTTACACAAAAATATAATCACTATTTAGATACCTGCATATTTTCACACGAGCACAAACTTTCTCTGTAGGTTACAAAAGTTCTTTTTCTAAAAATAGTTTAGTAAAAAAATTATAATTGATTCACTTTAAATCTATCTTTATTAAAACTAGTGAAAAATTAATTTTAATTCAGTCCTTCATCTAAATAAATTGCCTATATAATTTATTACAAGATAGTCCCTTTAATTTTTAAAATTTACAATTTGACCTGTAAACTTTATTGATTTGCAAAAAAGTCTTTTTTTTTCAAAAATTGGTAAGTTTCAGGTTTTATAGCATGTTTCTTCTAGATTTCTAAGGTATTCTTTTAAGTCTCAACATAGTAAAAAATAATCCTTTGGTCCCACTACTCATGGTCCAATATTTTAAAATTTTAAAATTGTCAAAATCATGGTATCATCTCCCTTAAAGTTTCAACGTTTCAAATTTAATCCAATCCTCTTGTAATTTCATGTCCCTCACACTTTTTAAGTGATTCAAAGGTGTCCAAGGTTTCAAAAATTTATTAAATGATCACTTTCCATTTTTTGTTAATTTTCTCTTAACTGTAATTTATTTAATTTAATATTCAAAAATTTGGTTAAAATATTATTTAAATTAAAAATAATTCAATTAACTTTTTTATAGCTAACTTTTTTTATCTCTCTACCTTATATAGTAGAACCGCTCACACCCTTGTTCACGTTCCCTTTTGGTATAAGAAATGTTATTTTTACAATAAATTTGTCACATATTTTTTTGGCAAATTAGAGAAAAAAAAAGGAAAAAAAAAGAAGGTTGTTAGATGAGTAATATAACGAAAAAAATTAAAAAAATGTTTGTGAAAAAATTTTGTTCCAAGAATAATATAACTATTTTGGTATATCCATGCTACCACCTTTGATTCATTAATGAATTTGTGCCACATAATCCCTACCAAGTACCAACTATTGAAGCTTGACTATTTGCTAATGTTTATTATGAGATTTTTGCTTTATATATGTCAAGTTTGCTAAATGACAAATAAAATACTTAGTTTCAACCAAAGAAAGTTGGTCCAGTAACAAATAACTTGGTATCGTTTAAGCAAAATTTCGAATTTAAGTCCTTCTATATGCAAAAAAATCTCCGGTGATAAACTCACTTATCACATCCAGATGCGCAGGTCGAATCTGAATTAAACTAAATAAAAAACTAAAAAAAAAAAGAAAAGAAAAAATACTCAGTTTCATCCACTAGGCGAAGTTAGTCATAGAAATCTCAATGATAACTAATAAATGACAAATGTGAATTCTCCAAAGAAGTGACACTCATGCAATCCATATATTTCGGTCATTCTTGAGGGTTGGTTTATTCAGGTGCCATCCAAAACAATATAAAGAGATTAAAAAAGGGGAGGGGGGGGGGGGAAGCATCTTCAAGTGAGTATGATAGCCTCAATTTTGATTTTTTTTTTCTTTGATTCTTTATTTTCCCTCCATTTTAGTGGGGAGAGAGACTAAATAGGAAGAAAAAATGAGATGGAAGATTTCCTCCAAATGAAAATGTTGTCAATGAACTCAAGCATATTAAAAAAAAATTACACGTCTAAGATTCAAATCTACAACAAAATTATTATGAAGATTTGACGAAGGACCTTGAACAAAAACAAGTAATACAATATCAGTTACAACTACAGACAATATAAACATTTAATGGAAGACATCAGCAAAGGAGCAGCCAAAGCAAGAAACTCAATGTTCTGTGAAATGGATTTGCAACAATCTATGATTGTCATATTTCATTCCACATTCTCTGCTACACCTATGACCTATTTCTGCAAATGTATTCTCTTATCCCTTATTGGCAACTCAACGGGTTTCTGTGCTGCATGTGGATGATCTTGGCCCTTATAAACCTTCAGGTGAGTGAATAGTCTCCTGCCAAGCTGTATGCACCAACCATTGATTATTGTAGATTCGATTAAAGTGAAACGATATATAGAAAAAAAAGAATCAAAGAACGCATGAAATACTATAAGGAGGATAAGAAACCATCCTTAGAATATACAATTACCAAAAGAAACCTAGCAAAAGCTTTTAACCATGGCCATGAATGCAAGAGTTTTCCAGTCCTGAAATATTATCTAGGAAGCACCATAAAAAGGACTTGTGTGTTAAACACCACAGGGAGTCGATCTTCTCCTAAAGTATGACCATAAGTACATGTCCTTCAAAATATCCACACATTCCTTTCAAACCAAAACTTAAATTCTTCAGCTAATTTACAATTCTGGGATTTTTACTTCATTCTTCACTACTAAACTCATCCATCAGTTATGAGGATGAATCTTGCATGTGATATGCCATGAAAATTAGTAACATAAATTATAATTATGCTACCATGTCTACAATTACCATGAATCAACAATCCAGTTTAACATGTCTACTTCTTATATGTGTGTGTCTTGGAAAAATATTCAACAGTAGTTGAACCTACCCTCCCTTTTGGAAGCATGCCACGAACAGCATGTTCAATAATTCTTTCAGGAATTCTGTTTTGCAGCTGGGAAAATGTCTCCACCTTCATGCCACCAGGTCGTCCAGAGTGCCTCCTGTAAAGCTTTTGGGTCCTCTTTTTCCCAGATACAGCAACCTTCTCTGCATTTACCTTCAGCTCCCCAAGTTAAATAATAGTGGTTCAAACTTTGTATAGCAATAACATAACTTTGTAAGTCACAACACATATTCTTCACCACACACATCAATTCGAACAGAAGAAAACATAATCCACAACATTCATGGCTTAAACCTCAACAGAGGGTTCAGGCTGCTTAACATGGACAATCATGTGAAAAGTGAGTATTATGATTAGTATAGAATATTTCCAGAAAGGAAATCCTCTTTCATCAATATATATTTTTATGTTCTTGAAAAATTGTTTATCTTGGAACATTGGAAACTGTTGTAGGATCATAAGTTGTCCTCAAGCCTATATAATTCAAATCAAACTTCAACTGTAATACTGCACAGAAAATGCTTACAATCTAGGGAAAGTAAGATGCATAAAAAATCCTATCTTCAAATTTACATATTGTGGATTAATAGTGTTTCTTGCAGCTACTGCATATGATCCAAAAACAGGACAGGTTTTCAAACATAACTAGATTTAGGGCTGGATAATTAAGACTCTCCCAAATATGATGTTAAACAATAAGTTGATTACAGAATAAGCTGAGACTTGAGAATCAACATCCAAAAATGTGAAATTTAATCCAAGGCTCTTTGTCAAATAAGACAATATTACAGAAATAAAGTTAAGAATGATAATGACAATTTAATGAAATATGATATCTAGGGGTGCACATAATCCATTTTCATGGTTACCTACCTTTGAAAAGAAAGTATAAAATGCAAGAAACTCTCTCTCTCTTGCTTGCTCTCTCATTGCCAAGTTTTCGTGAGATGAGGTTCTCTTCCTCCTCAAACTCCTATACCAAGTGTAAAATCTCCCCATTTTCTCCCTATTCTTGATATAAATTGTCCACAGTTCTAAGTTCTAACTCATAACTAATTTATTTAACAATTGATACACTTATCAAATTGTTGAGTTCATTCTGACTAACTGCTTATATTTGGGCCATGTATCTAAAGCATAAATTATCTGCTGTAATGCACAATTTTATTTTAGCATAAGTGGTAAACCATAAAAAAAGTGTTTCCATTGTCAAACACAAATAGACAGGAAGAATGCAGAAATACATACCACAATTACAAATGCACCCATGTCCACACTAGGTGTGTACGTCGCTAAGTTTTTCCCTCGGATGTGAATAGCAATTGTAGAAGCTAGTCTTCCAAGAACTTTGTCTGTTGCATCAACAACATACCATGTTTTCTCTGTATTCACATGATCTGCAGCTTTTGGATACCAGGTCTTGTTCCAAATATCCTGCAATTATTATTATTTTTTCGTTGGGGAGTTAAAATTCATTAACAAAGCATCTAAAAGATTTAAAAAACTTCAAAAGAATACAACACATACAGAAAATGCATTTAGCTGCTTAAATTTACAATTATTTTTAAAAAATCACGACAAACACCCGGATACACTTTCAAGTTAAATTTATTTAATGTGAACTCAAAACTGAAGTAGAGATTAAAAACACTAAAAGATTTGAGTGGCTATGTAAGGTCGATATTATATTATGCAATAAATAAATAAAATAAAGAGAAAAAGGAAACAAGAAACCACTTGTACATTGCCAAGCTAATTACACAAGTAGAAAAAGAAAATGTAAGCACAAATTACTAGCACTCATGTAAATCTTACAGTTAATTTACATCAATTACAGCAATGAATACTTCAAATTCCAAATCAGAAGACAACAAAACTTAAATACTATAACTTCACACGCCACTTCCACTCCTTCTAACGCAAACAAAGAATCGCAAAAAATTCAAAAATTTCACAGTAAAACTTGAAACTTTTCTATTTCTTATGCTTAATTATTGAATACCCAGTAATGATTTCAAAAGAATCTGAGAAAAAAGAATCAAAAGATAGGTTCTACCGGTCCTTTGAAACGGGGTTCAGGTTCAACGCAAATGAAGCGAGGATCTTCTACGACAGGAGAAGAAGACTCCTGTTGACATCGGACAACAGGAGTTGCGGTTGCAGGTAAAAGGGTCTTAATAGAAGAAGATAACGAAAGCTTAGGTAGAGGCAATTGGAAGCCAACAAAGGAAGATTTTGTTGCAGTTTTGACATTCTTGTGAGAAAGGAACGAAGATGGAGAACACGTCACCGAAGATGAGCCACACAGCAGCGCCATTCTCTTCCACTGCTTCGTAACAGTGTGCTATCTTTTTATTATATCTATCTCTCTACCCCTTTTTGGCTACATGCCTTTGTTCCTCGCCTTGGATAATGTAGAGTGAGAGGAGACAGTAATTCATTGCCAGTTGCCATGGTCTTATTTTTACTATACTAGGTTAAAATTTATAGTAAGATTTAACATGTAATATTTTCTAATTTGGTTTTCATATAAAAAAAAAGAAGATATTCACTTTGATATGTATAAATAACTTTTAATTATATTATTTTTATTTCTTGTTATTAATTAAAATTAAAAAATATTAATTATACTATTAATCTTTTTTATTATAAAATATACTATTTAGTCTATTTGAATAATACTATAACAATTAATCTTGAAAATATTTTAATTTTTTTAAAAATTTAATATTTATATATGATAATATTATCTTAATTTTTTTTATTTATACATAGTCTAATTTTATTTATATGTCCTAATTTTTTGAATTATTTTACACTTTATTTTTTTTAAAGTGTTGAAGACACTATTCATCTACACACATTGTAGGTACGTGGATTTAAAAGGTGAATCGAACTCATAGTTAAAGAAGGGAAAACAAAGAAGGAAGGAAAAAGAAACAACCCAACTATTGAGGTGCTCAAAGATTAAAAGACTCTTTACTAGGACAGAAATCAAGAACTAAATGATTTTAGGGTGGCTCAATTAGAGGTATTTTCATTACTCAAGAAAATACAAACATGAAACTATATAGAAATGTACCATTGAAGGTTACTACACTATCCTGCAAGATCAATTGAAAAGCACTCTCTATCAAAAGTTCATTTGTTCAAAAGAGGAATACTTTTTAGTTGAAGGAGGAAGATGCAAGGCGTGTCAAACCCATTGGGAAGTCACCGATCACATTTTCTTTTAAATGCAAAGTAGATGTTCAAAGTGTGGACATGATCACATCTCAATTGGATGAGTACTGTAGTATACACACAACACAACTATATAATGACAATCTTTAATGCACATGTTTATATTTTTTTTTACCTAGTTACGTGATGTAATTTTGTTTACTAATATGTTTATAGATGTAAACAATAATGATAAGTGCAACAATTGTTTTAAAGGATATAATACGTATAGTTTCCAGAGGAATTGCATTTAATTAATAATTTATTTTCTTCAAATTTTTATTTGAGCTTTCAGGGCATTCATAAGTCATTTAATGCATAATTGAAATAGAAAAAATATAGTAAAATATTCTTAGTTTTATATTTAAATGAATGATAACAAAAATAACATAAACTATAAAGGAAAAATTAATTAAAAAATGATTAAGATTTGAATTTTTTCTATTTCTCTTTGTTTATCATTGATATAAAAAAGACTTTCTACAATAAGTTTTTATATCTGTTAATAAGAAACTGATTTAATAAAAAGTATGGTGATATTTTTAAAATAATAAGAACTTTTAACATCCATTATAAAAATAACTGATGTAGAAAATACTTTTTACGTTGGTTGTTTTTTAAACTCACGTAAAAAGTAGGAGATAAAAATTAAAAAAAATAGAGAAATATTAGAATTTTAGAAAAAAAAAAGTTTGTGTAAACTCTCTTTAGATGTTTGGGTTGGATAGATCTTGAAAAATTATATGAAATAAACATATAATTTGTATAAATTGGAGTTCCATGTTAATAGTTGTATAATTTCAAAGTTTATGACAATAAAAGCAAAAAATTACAGAATTTTTTACATCAACTGCTAAATAACTGATGTAAAAAGTACATTTTACATCAATTATTTTAATAACCAATGTAAAAAATACTTTCTATATAAGTTGTTTTGGAATCAATTCAAAATAAAAATATTTCATTTTTGCGCGCCAGTGCTTAATTACTACATTAGTTTCAAGAACAATCCATGTAGAAAGTACTTTATACATAAATTAACTAATGTACTGATGTATAATCAATTCAAAATAAAATATTTTAGAGATATAAGCCAGTGAAATAGCATAAATTGGAGTTAGCGAACATGAATTTTTACTTATGTTCTTAAGCTTCTATTAGAATTTTTATTTCATTCTATATTTTCTTATGCTATTAATAAACACAAACTCTTATCATATATATCAATTATTTTATTTTGCTCCATTCTGTGTTTTCTTCTTTCTTGGCAAACATCGTATATTTTCAACCGTTGTATATTTATCAATAATAAACATTGTATATTTTTTATTTACAAATTCAACAAATATCAACAAAAGATTGACAACAAACACTACATATCGAATACGATTGAGATTGAATATTGTATATTGATGAATATTGCATATTTTTCATTTACAGATTTAACGAAAGTTAAATATTAACATGTAAAAAGACGAACATTAACGAATATTGACACCACCAAAAAAATTGTTTGCTAATCTGTAAAAAGAACAATTACCATTGATGAACAAAAAAAAAACATTTTTTACATCGATTAATTAAAAATTTGATGTAAAATGTATATGTTTTCTACATTAATTGATTGGTTAACTGATATAAAATCTTCTCACTTATTATATTACATGTATCTACATTAGTTCATCAATTAAGATTAAAAGTTATTTTTAATTGTTGTAAAAGGTCTTTTCTTTGTACCTGTGTATATTAAAAGTTATTCAATCTACTTCCTACTCATGCAAAGAAAATCAAGTTCTCTAATACAGAGTCAGGTCCAATGTTTTGGATGAAAACTCCCTATAAAATCAACCAAAATTCCATAATCTCTTAGGCAAATCAAACTAGCACATGCATAATAATTCAAGAATTCAAAAAGACATATAGTTACTTAATTTAGACTTAAAAACTAATTTTTCAATCACGAAATCAAGTCCTAGATTATTTTTTAGTTAGTCGAATCCCAGAAAGTATCAAATAAAGAGAAATTCAATCAAACTATAAAAAAAGAAATAAATAAAAATTTAATATTCTTAATAATATAAAGGATTTAAATAGGAGTTCATCCCATCTTAATTTAAAAGAAATTAGTTAAAGATATATACAATTAACAACATAGAAAAATAACAAGATAAGAGACAAAGAAGTCTTTCAAATTCTTAAGAAAGAAAAGAAAAGAAAAATGAGAGAAAATGAAAAATAGAAATAACTCTAAGTGAAACTAATCAGAAATTCAAAATAAAAAATAACTATATATATCTAAAAAATAGTTCCCATTATATTTACTTACGGACTTTGAAGTATGTTAGGCATTACAACAGCGCAATGCGTGTTGGAATGTTTAGAAAATTTCGAACAATATTTTTCTAGGTTCTATGTTTGAACATTGAAATGCCCATAGATCATAAGATTCTTAATTTCTCTAATATTTAGCATTGGAATGTCAAGTTCTGGATGTTAGGACGCTCAAATGTTTGCAACAACTTGGTGTCTTTAATAATCAGTGATGAGATAGTGAGTTCTAATTTTTTTCATCTTTTACATTTAACTTTATTGAATTCTTCGAACTTTAAATTCTTACCGATCATTTAATAAATAATAAAAATGCATAAATTAGTTAAATTCTTGTATAAAATAGATAAAAAAATATTAAATATTCAATAACTTAGATAAAAATTATAAATGTTGATTATTTTGCAAATCTAGTTCATAAATCATATAAATTAAGATTAAATAGTCTCTAAAATATAACAAACCAATGTTTAATAACAACTTAATTGTGATTTCATTGATAGATACCAAATAGGTTTAGATCCTCTCCACTAAATTTAAGCGAATGTTAGGAATCCTGGTACCATGAAACACAACAATAAAAGTTGGGCTCACCTTTTCCCACGCTTCTCACCTAGCTATTCTACTGCCTGGAAAAATGTTTTCCACTCTTTTTGTACCCACTTCGTGTTTTAGCTTCTGAATGATCCAACAAATCTTGTTAACAGAGATGCAATCCTTTTTTAAGTTTAGAGTCTAACTGGGTCTATTGCTGATGCTCTACAAATTTGAAGGCAAAAACTAACGAAGTGGAAAACATTTAGCTTTGTGACAAAAGGGATTCTCAACTACAATTTTTTATCCCAGTTTCTCCTTTCAATTATGATAAGCATTGCTATGATCTAAAGCTCAATAAAACCTTGAATTTAATTTCTTCTGTTCTGGACTATACCCAAAATTCCTGATTAAAAGGAACTAGAATTTGAAGCCGTTGCCTTAACCCTTGTTTAAAAATTAAAATGCATGAAGTATGTATCTCACTTTAGTAATTTATATACAGGCTTGCTTTGCACATCATTTGTTTTTATTTTCTCGTTAATAGTTTTCCATTAGATAATCTTTACATGCTTATCTGGGTAGAAAGGATGACACGTTAATATAAGAGGAAAATTTATAAGGGTTGATAAAATAATGCTTCACATAGCCTCCAATATTTATTAGACTTTCACTAACAATAATCTGAAATAAATGCAATGGCAAGAAACCAGTTCACAACTTCACATCTTTACAAACATTTCAATTTTTCTTTTGGCTGCATGACAACAACATTGATAAACAGGATAGTTCCTTGTTTTCCTTCTACACATACCTTTTCTTTTCCATAAATTGGATTTTATTTTTCATTTACACATTAGTCACGTACGCAAAAGGCCACAAAAGCCTTAACAAATAAAGTAAAACAATGGTTTTTCTACACATCATCAGACTGCTCTCCCTTCATCTTTTTACATGTTTTTTGTTTTTCACATATTTAATTAATTATTTTGTACACCTAAGATCTAGTAGCAATATATCGAATATAAATGGTTAATCTTTCTCTAGCTTCTCATCAGGCTGAAGAGTGCATATATTCAAATTGCTCGATAGAAAGTGTTCCTTGATGGTAAGCAAAGAAATAAATTGTAAGAAAATTCCTTGAAATGAAATGTTAAAGGAAGAAATTGATCGATTAGTATTGGCTCCGCATAAGAGAACCAGTTAACTTTAGTCTAACAGTATAACAATTTCATATTGCAACTGAAAAGTAAACTGAAAGCTCAAACATGACATTGCATTTCACAATCAAGCAATCCTCGAAACTGTATTGGAAATTATTTGACCAATTTATAAGTTGAGTTCTACATATAAAACAACTCTATGCTCAAGTCTGC